TACTCTGATTCTTCAGTTCTGAAATCTGAAAAGTATCAGGCTTGAAACAAGCCTGCTGGGTCAGTGCTGCACACATATCACGCTCATGCTAAGTTCAAAAAACTTTCTCCTCTTCACGGGTAAATAGGAGACTAGAGAACATAAAATTTTCAAGCAAACAGAGAGTTTCTCCAGATCTGTCTGTGATATGCAGCAGCTCACTGCCTTTTTTTTCCTCTCTTTTTCTTTCTAGGTTTGCCACCCCTTCCTTCCTTGCCACCTCTGAATCTAATGGGAATGACACCTCCAGCAATGCCACCCAAGTGTGTCCCGGTGCTTCCTTTGGTCACAGAGGCATCTGCAGTGCCTACAGATTTGCTTCCCTCTATCAGTCAAGCCGGAAGCTTTTTCATCAACCCTGGCACTACTGTAAATGTAGAACAGACCTCTACACTCACCTTGGATAGCGCTGCTCCAACTTCTGTGGCAACTATTGTTGACAGATCAAATGAATCCTCCACAGCTAATGAGAAAACAACTGGAGTCACAGATACACAAGCTTCTGAATCGTAACTCCAGATCACTCTGTTGGATTGGCTTGGTATTTATTTAGCCATGGGATACATATTTGAAAAGCAAGCTGTCATTAATTTCATACTAGTTTGTACTTAATCTTTAGGAGTCCTGTAAATAATATGGAGGTATAATAAAAATAAAAGGGGATTTATAAAGTGTGGGAGGGGAGGAAGAGTACTTGTATGTTACCAAAAAAAAAAAAAGTCAGGGTGGTAAATAGAATTCCACTGCCAAACTCGGAGGTTTATGTTTTTATTATAGGCTGACAGCCTTATCCTGCTAGGCTTGTCCTTCCTTATAATTAGCAATTTTTGCTTCTGATAGAAATGAAGCGGGTCTTGCGTGTGACATTTACGTACCATAGTTCTTGTTCTTTGCAAATATCTTGTTACTACAGTGGGATGAGAATGTTTAGTCTGAGTTGTAAATTTTAACGCTGCAAAACTTCCACCTAAAGATACTTCTATTAAAGTTGCTGAGTGACCTGTTAACTGACATCTCGTTATTCAGCTTGTACACAAATTGTTGTCTTTAAGCACCTGAGAGATGCTTAAGCCATGTTTTGTGACTGCTGCTGCGTTGTTTCATATGCCCACTGTAAAATGGCATTTGGAAGGGAATACATGGAATGTTAAATGTAGCACACAGTAGGCACTTCATGACTACTGTAAGATGAATTAATGGATTAAGCATACATACAGCAATAAATTCCTGGAATTTTATTCTTTGTGTGACAAAATATCACATTTTTTTAAATTCCTGAAGTCTCATTTAACTGTTTTTAGCTCAGCTCTCTGTAGCACAGATCTGTGAAAGGGCTCCCCTCCAGAGGAATGGGTCCAAGATGGAATGCCAGACATCTTAATGGTAGGCAGGATCAGCACTTGTGGTTAAATCCGTTGCAGCAATGAGTCATGAAATCTGCCTGCATGTGATTCATACTTGGCTTTTTAAATTGAAATTTAGGATGAAAGTTGTAGAATAACTGTAGATGATACTCTTGTATAAACTGTTGTGTGCACTGTACTCCAGGTGGTAGCCTTTGCTCCTGGTATTGGGTACAGTTAATGTGGAAAACTTTCTGTACCACTCCAGTCGTTTTATATTACTGGGATTTCATTTATATGTGTTTGCTACAAGCATATGCAAACTTAGCCATATCATCATCAGGCTGGAGCTAAAGCCTGTCTCAACAGCTGTGTAATTCATTTTGGCAATGTAGTTTGCCTGATCAGTGTTTGGAATAGTAGTTCCATCTGACTGCTGATCATAGTAATAATGTCTCAATTAATTCAAGTGGAAGCCTTATCTAATACCTGTTGTCCTGTCTCATCTTTATCACTTAAGTATTTGTCTTTCTTCTGCCCCACTACTGCACATTCCTCATCACCTGTTATGGCAAAATCATGTGTCAAAGACAGACCCTAAATATTTTTTTCATACTGTGAGCAGTTTAGTTTCTCAGCTGCTTCAAGTGTGAAATTCTTCTGCCTTGCTAAATAGGGCACTCGCTATTTCTCAGAATGTATTTTTATTTACCTTTGTAAATCCAGTGTCACATACCTTAGAATTAAACCTCAACATGAGAAGAAGGATGTTCCCTCTTTTCTTTCCTCTATACAGAGCAACTGTGTTAGTATCAGGCTCCATTGAGCCTCACAGGTCTAACAGTCTTTTCTGCAACGTGGTTACACACTTCCAACCCAAGAACAGTAAAAACAGAATTTTCATCACACAGCATATTTAGAACAATTGCTGGTTGTAATCAGATGCTTTGAACTATAATCCTTGGGTAGTTGGTTTTGTTCTTACAGTATGGCACAGTGTCCTCTGGAGTAACATCTGAAGTTATCTGGTATGATTCTGTGCTTTCCAACAGCAAGCTGCAAACTTTCACAGGTCTTGCGCAGTTGTCTCTAGTAGCAGGCAAAATAAGATGCTTAGTCTGAAGTTTTGCCCTTTCTGTAGCTATTTTAAGTCCCGTTGTTGCTGACTATATATCCAGCCTTTTGGTAGCTGTGAGAGCAGTGGAAGTGAGACAGTGTTTAAGTGTTGCCATCAGCAATTCTGCTAAAGGTAATGTGACTTCAAATTTGGCGATGATTTAATGGCGCAGATTTAAGATGTAATCTCCCATCTGAAAAGTCATAAACATTGTTAAGTCAGAAACTTACTACTTAAAATAGAAGCAAAGACCTTAAATTCACACAATTGAACTCTGTCCCTGGTTTTTTAATTCCCTCAACTAGATGAAATCATACCTTAATCACTTCTGGCAAGGGTCCCTTAATGACTTGTTTTTCTCAAAAAAAAAAAAAAGGGGAGTAAGAAGGAATAGGAACTTAAGATACATCAAGGGACTGACAGCTGATGTTTCCATGAGTTCATGTATCCAGCTGTTAATGAACAGTTACGAAGAGACACATTAGCTTTATTTAAAGCATTGACACATAGAGTTCTTTAACAAGTACTGAGAGCAGATGAAGACAGATGTACCATGAACATCCCCAACCTTGCATGTAATCAAGAATGATTAAAGTGTATGACCTACTCTGAAATGCATAAGGTAATTTCCTGCTCCACCAAAGGCTGCTCTGGGGCTGTGCTGTTCACTGTATTTGTTGTGAGGGGAGGGCTGTCTCAACAGTGTGTGAGCACATGTGGAAGAGGTGCCTTTTGCAGCTTGATGCTCTGCTGCTGCTCCAGGAAACAGCTGCTCAGGCTGCAAGGTCATTGCAGGAGTGTGGACAAAGTGCTAATGGTGGAAGTTTCATAGCTATGGTCATATAGTGGGCTCTTTCTGAGCCGCTGACAGCCATCTTTTAAATCCTGTTCACATTAAACCTCCCTGTCACAGTTGGAGCTCAGTTCGTTCCCGGGAAGTAGCTGTGCAGGGCCACGAGATGGCGTGCACCAGTTTCTTTTGGCTGAATTTACAGGATAAAACTCAGCAACAATGGTGGTTGGTTCCCACTCCTCCTGCAGCAACTGTAGTCAAATGGATGCCAGCTGGATGTTGAATGATGATGCTTGAGAACTGTAAAACCAATGGATCTGAAGGCAGAAAGAGGCTGAGCTTAAGCTGTTTCCAAGTTCCAGTTTTGCTGAGTGTTTGCTGACTTAAGCCAAGCTAATCATGGGGCTGGGTGAAAGTTCTGAAGAAAGCAGATCTTTACAGGCAGGGACTCGTTTGACATAGTGTAATGCTGAAGGAGAGGCGTGGATAATATTTCCAAACTCTCTGTGATGTAAGTGCTGATTATCAAATTAAGTTGAAGGGGGCAGGATAAGGATCAAGGATGTTTGAGGGTAGAGCTCTCTTTTCCTCAATTATATAAGGCTTTGTCTGTACTAGTCAAATAAATGTATTCACAATCACTCCATAACATGGAGGCCTCATTGGCACCAAGCTCAGAGGTTTTGGTTCTTCATTTGGACTTAGACACCTAGAATCTGTTGCATTTTAGATTTGAATCCTGTAATGGTAGGCAAAAATCAGACTGCAAAAGTGTTTCTTCATTTTTAAGTGTCTGTAGTTCATAATTAAGTCATGCTTGTAATCCTACTCTGTACATTCTTCATGGTAGTCCAGGGCTTAATACATATTTGTGCAGCCCAGCACAGTGTCATGCACTGTGCTGTGCCTTCTAGTAATAACTCTAGCTAATAAATGGTAGTTTAGCTCAGGAAACAAAAAATCTTCAAGCTGATTTGCCTGTAACATCTGTGGTAGAAACTGGGTTTTTAGCTGCAGTGTAACAGAGGGCCAACACCTGCCATAGCACAGTTTTAAAGTGGAATATTTAAGGTGCAATACTAACGTCAAAAAGCCCCGAAACCAAACAAACCACTTACCTCAATCAAACAGAAAACTCCATGTAGCTCAGGTGAATCTGTAGCAGTTTGGCCCTGCAGTCCTGGTGAAAGAGTTAAAGGGTAGTAATCTGCCATTTTACAGAGTATCAAAGAGATTTGCGGATAGTGGCTAGAGAGCTAGTGAGTTGAGCAAGGAACAGATATATCCTTTCCCAGAAACCCCAATTCATGTTGATCCTTAGGCCATATGAATACATTATGTTGCCAGGATGTGGCCAGCAATTCAGAATTTCACTTGGGTGGATGACTGGTGTTTCTTAGGACCGGTCTGTGCAAATGATTTCAGCTGAAGTTAGTACCAAAGTGCAGGGTTTGTGCTACGATGCACGTGAAACTGCATCAAGACTGTAAGAGTTCAAAGGCAACAGACCTAGCATGTGGGGACCTGCTCTGGGTGGAAAGGGTGAGGTAGGGTCCATGGTTTTGTTACTCCCCTCACAGTGGGAGAATGCAGACACATCTCTTCCACTGGCCACATGCCTGCCTCTCCACTGCCCTTCCTTGCACCTGGAAAGGTAGAATTCTGCCTTAAGAGGAGGCTGCAAACATTACTTGCACTGACAAGATGACTGTGACTCTTATCAAATAATCATGTTCTCAGCCTTGGAACTCGTGTCCTATGGGATCAAAAGTTATGTTTCATCCTTAGTTCTGCAGTGTAATACTTTTACTCTCTCTGAACTGTTTCCTGTGTTAAGTTCGCAGTTAATCCATCTTAAATGCTGCATTCCAGCATTGCTCAGCTCACCCACAAGAGAGAGCTTCAGAGACCACAGAGGTCAGGCTCACCTTGGGCAACCCCTGGCAACAGGGAAAGCCTATTCTGCCAACAAAACAACCCGTTTTAATAACAATCCTGTTGTCTGAGAGGATTGTTTGTTCTGCCAGCAAGTGGTGCATATTCACTTACTTTGTTCGTGGCCCTTGCAGGTTAGGTGAGCTGTGAAACTCCAACAGAAGCTAAAAAAATAGGAAGCATGAGTGAATTCAAGCTGCAAAGCCTGTAGTCAACATAGACTTGCTAGTTATGTAAGAAAAGCCTGCAATGGATGATTATAGTATTAGCAAAAGCAATGCAGAGCTATGGGCTTTGGTTTGATCAGGGGCGCTGGATGTAATGGGTCTCACTGAGAGTCGACTCGTCTGGACCTTCTCGTGTGCAGAAAGGACACAGCACTGCCCGGGCCCTGCTCCCTGGAGACATCTCTTCCCAGCCCTCACAGTTCATCAGCCACATCCTCTGCTGGCAGCTTTCATGAACAAATGGTTCATCTCAGTGTTCTTGCTCCTAAATGAATGATAGACACAAATAGCAAATTGTTGGCAAACACCGCTACATTTTCACCTGTATAAGAGAAGTAGTTTCCAGTTGTTGGTACTGTACAGAGAGAGAATACAGACAATTCAGTAGCTAAGACTTAGCAGTGACCATCCTGCTACAAATCTCACTCTTATCTTTCAAGCTGACTTTCCCTGAAATTTTGTTTAGCAAGTCTTCAAAATAATATTTAAAAACAAACTGAAGATTTTAAACTTCCCATCCTGGTGTTTCTAAGTACCCCTTTATGGGCTTGGAGCTGTGCCCATGCTAGTGTTTACACAAATTAAGGAAAGAATCTGGGAACTGAAGCTAGATCAGAGGAATAGTGCAACTTCTTCAAGAAACATTAGAACTTGTAAACAGAAGTTGCAATTTTTACAAATAAAAGCTCGGTATTAACAGTTACTAGGCATCAGTGAAGTTTTATCAGCTATGATGCTAAAAGAACTGTAAGAAAAGATATGAGAAGCTATTTCACAATACTGTTTACTCCCTCAGGTAAATATATGTTCACATGAAACAGGAAACAGAACAAGCATGGTCCCAGGCAGTGACACTGCTTTACTAAGGCTCAGAAGTCTGACAATAGGATATGTTTTTGTTACATATAACAGTACTTGGGTAAAATCCTTTAAGAGAGCAACCACAACTTCTAAGAAAATAGAAACCAACTGGAAATCTGTGCATTGCCAAATAACATGCTGGGCACTGGAAATTAATGACTTTGTGAAAAAGTTGCCTTTTTTCCAAGGTTACATTTTTATTTGAAACAGATTTCTTACTCATTTTACCAGTAACACCTATTCAGAGAGAAGACAAAAAAACCCCACAACCCAAAACCACACTTGCTCTCTGGGCACTAACTGTTTAATAATGAAAAGGAACTTACTGTTCCTAACCCAGTTCTTGGCCATTTTCATTCCTAACTACAAAAAAAGTAACAAAAATAATGTATTTATGGATTGCATTGTGCTTCTGAATATTTTTAGCCTAAAAGTACACATCATAAAGGGATAGGAAGACTGACAAATTCAGGGTGAAATATTAAGAACTTTGAGGAACTGAACCAAATATTTTTCAAATGCTCCTTGGAAGCTGCCATACATCACTCATACGGAAGCATGCTCGTGCCTCCTTACCTGCAGATGCCCACTGCTGGAGTTCATTATAGTCTGCTCCTCAGTCTCTCATCAATTTTCAGAAGTGCTTGCATCAGCCTTTACTCCTGTCCTCGCAATGCCTACCTGTCAGCCTACAGACTTCTGCCTCTGAAAACTCAACACCATCCCTCAACAAGTACATTACCAGCTCCAGATCTAAAGGACTTGCTGCCTTGGTGGTTGCTGCCATAACTGGCGCTACAGAGGTAATATTTCAAGATAAGGTCTGAAGGCATCTCAGATTCTTGCCCACTATATCATCTTCCTCCCTTTTTTCTCTCTTCACCTTACTCTCCCTGTCATTTGTAGATGGGGCCTTGTAGTATGATTCAGAAAGGCTAGAAAGGGTTGCTAAAAACACAGGGAGATTTCTTGTGGTGTATAGGAAGAGAGATGCTGAAAGAGAGCTGTTTAAAGGACAGAAGCCAGATGGTTTTCTTCTTACTAATCACTGCATTTGGCACTCTGCTTGGCTGTTCCACAGAGCAGAGGGGTCCTACTGTCACCTCTTGCCTAGGATTCCTCATTTGCCATCCTCACATGATGAGTGCCCATGCTTTTTGAACTACTTCTCCTCTGACTTTCCAAGAAAGGAGAGCAAGTCACCACCCACATGCACTACCTGGAATGCTCTGCACAGCCTGGTCACCCTGCCCCTCAGCCGCAGCCAGTGCTCACCTCAGAGCCCTGCAGCTCCTGTAGAACACGAGGGCTGGCAGCAGAGAGGATCACAAGTCAGCCAGTGGGAGACACTGCCCCAGGCCTGACACCTGAGATACCACATCCTGTCACTGTGAAGGTGCAGCAGCAGTTTTCGAGAGGCAGGTTAGCAATGAGCAGCTTGCTTGTGCTCACACCATTTGCATGCTGGAGGAGAGGTACCACACTCTCCTCAAGGAAATTCTTCAAAAGTATTAATAGAAAACTGTTGTTATTGCATACGGGGCTGAATTTGAACAACCTCTACAACTGATTGCGATGCTGAGAGCAGCTCATGAGCACAGTGCAGTTTCAAGTGCAAGGTCTTTGCTTCTAGCCCCATGTGCTGTGCAAGCGGAATACTGGCTGTTTAAACAGAAGGTACACTTCACTAGAGGAGGGTGCTTGATGAGTCCTCTACACTACTCCTTATAAAGACTAGAAATGTACTTTCTGAAAGAAAGATAGTATTTAAATTGATTAGGCAAATAATAAATAATGCCCCCAGCCTCCTGCCTGCAGCAGTCTCTGAGTGCTGGGCATATGGCACCTTTCCAGACCACATGGCAGCCAATGAGGTAGAGCTGGTGATTATTATTTTACCCACCTTTGGCAGGAAATAAAACATCTGTTTAATCCTGACAGTGGGACTCCTCAGCAGTTAAGCTAAGATGGTTAAAAAGGAATATAATTGAAAAATATGTTTCAAGCAGCAGAAAGCAGTGACAAGACTTCTCAAATTTGATAAGACTTCAGTCACTGATAGTTTGAGAGCCATGGGATTTTTTTATGGCTGTAGCCAGTCAGGACTTCTGTTTCACAGTTCAGGCAGAAAGAAATCCTCCTTTTGCAAAAGGGCACCTTTTCAGCTGGGCTCAAGGGACAAGTTGTGGCTCTGGACTGTTCACAAGTGGAGCGGCTCTACTTGCTGCTGCTCTCAGCTCTGGTTACCAATGGTGTTTCTCATTGCTGTTCAACCACAAGGCAGAGTTAAGAGCTTGAACACCTGGACTATTACTGTGAAAAAGCAGCAAGAGCAGACATGCCATTCTGTGAAATATGTAAGCAGATGAAGATATTTTCTGGGGTGCAGAACAACTTCTAAAACGATCTGTTCTGCTGGAAAGTTAAACCCAATATTATTGACTATGAATGAGTAGCCAGAGGGCTGACTGAACAGCTCAGCTAAGCAGTGGTGAATGGGAAGGACAGCTGCAAATCTCACCTTATGGAACAGCAACAGGGTTCTAAGTGGTCAAGAGAGCCTCCAAAAGAGTGAAGGGTATTTACAGAGGGTGATATAGTCATAGTGGTCCAGTGAAATTGTTTAAAGGGAATTTGAGACCAAATACTTATAATAATTCCTCTGTCTCAGATTAATCTGCATAGCAGTCTTAGCAGGAAAGTGTTCAAATCCCCTTCCAGAAAAGGACAAAACAAAGTCTTGGGTTTAGCAACCCAAAGAATAAGCCTGTGCTGAATTACTGGAATAAGATGAAAAACATTTGCTGTTTTGTGGGATTCATCTCACTCTATCCTCTTCATATCCAGCAGAGCTTGCTCACAGACACTGTAGTGCTCCTCTTTGAACTGGCTTGGCTCCGTGGGTGGACAGGCATTTGGTTAGTGGTGGTCACTTTGGAGGGAGCAGGGTTTGGAGAATCTTTACAGGCAGTCATTGAGAACAGATTCCAGCTGGCTGCAAGCACTTCCACTAGGATGTGATGCACAGCAAAGTCTTGAGTGAATGATGCTTCTGAGCACTCTTGTGAGCCAATAAGCACAAGCACCCTGGCATGCATAGCAGCACTGAAATGTACAGTCATAGTCATTACTGTGCCACCTCTCAGGAAACAGCTGATTTTGCTGCTGTTTGCAGCAACAGATGTAGAATAAAACCTCCAAAAAACTGTATCTATTTAAGGCATAATAAAAAGGAGCCTGAGTCCAACCAAAGACACAACTGAAAAGCAAAAATGGGACTTTGGTGACTTGACTTTGCCTATTGCACTTCTTTACTGGCTTTGACTAGGTCAAAGAAAGTGTCCAGCCCCTGCAGCTACAGGTAGCTGTTGTCCTCTGCTCAGCAATATAATCAGCTATTGGCACAGAGCTGTAACAGAAGCTGCTGCTCTGGTTATGGGCTCAGAGCTGCTTAAGTTGGGCAAGATCATTACCATCTTTCACCCAGACCTGCCCACCATAAAATGTCACCTTGAGTTCCTATGGAAGCTTCACATTCCTGGATGAGTTGGAGCATATTCTTGAGAAGGAATTCAAGCTTTAGTTGATAATGGTGGATTATATACCTACAACTATTAAAACTCTTACAGTGTTTTGTTTCCCTCACTGGAAAGGGTGGATTTTTCTTCCCCATTATAGTCTTTGTAATATTGTGTGCATTTTTTCAAGGGTACACTGCAAAAAGAGTGCCTTGCTTGGCTGTTGGCTACATGCTCACAGGTGTCTTTGCTGTCAGTTATTGATGCTATCAAGAAAGCAGCATCCCTTAAAAGGCTTCCAACTGAATTTTAGCTCCAGGCCACATACTTTCTCTCTGCAGGGTATCTTTTACCCTCTAATCTCACTGGAACAAGAAGGCTTTATATCTAGGAAAAAATGAATGAGGAAATCAGTGACACGAATTACACACCAAATGAAGATAACTCCCTCTGTCTCATTAGCACTGTTTAATTATGCTTGGATTCAAATTCTAAATATAGTTCATACAAATTCACAGGGGCAAGTGTTTCCTTCCACTGTTGCAATCCTCTCCACATCTAATACTTCTCTCTCCTATAAGATCAACAGTTTTAAGGACCTGTCTGCTTGAGTTTCACATGCTGACACTTCACCCCTTGTAAGTGAAAAATGTTGGTTAAGCAATGGCTTATGTTTGATGTTTGCATTGCTGTGAGAGTCCAGAGGTCCCAGTTGACTTTTCAGCTTCCTGTGCTGGGTCTGTGTCAACATGTGGAGGGAGTCCCTGATACAGATTCCTATACTCTTAACATGGCAGAGGCAGTATATTTTCAATATGCTCTTGTCACAACCCATCGGTACTGGGCATGATGTTCATTATAAATTCTCATCAAGTTGAACAAAGGCACCAGACCATGTGTCAGGAACTCTTATACTTTCACTGTACAGTTTCCATAACTCCAGCAACCAGCCCCCTGTTTAGACTAAAAAGGTGTTGGCTAACAAGAACTTAAATTCTTACAATTCACTTCCACAAAAGATATTGGCTAACAAGCCCTCAATTTTGTACAGTACACTTCAATAAGTTCTCAACTCCCACAACAAACTCCTCAAAGGTGCTGGCTCACAAGTTGCAACACACAATCCAAGTGCTGACACACAGCCACAACACACCATTACACGAAGGTGCTGACTCACAGGCCACAACATACCATTTCTCAAAGGTTCTGGCTAACAAGCCACAGCACACCTCTACAAGGTCCCCACTCTCACAATAAATTCCAGTATGGAGTATAGAGTAGATTATGATAGCTGAGCTTTGCCCAAGCAAAACAATAGAAGAAAATAAAGAATACCATCAGTCCTTAAGTTCCGTGTTGGTCCTGCCTCATGGATGGTCCAGAGCTCAGATAAACCATGAGAGTGAAAGAGAAAGAGAGGAAAAAGAGAGAGGGAAGAGGTCCTTTTATAGCTGACCTGGTGCACGCCTCTTATGTAAACTAGATTTTCTGTGCCTTTTTTTTCATGCATGCCCAGTCATCCCTTCTCCAGGAAGGGAGCTAGGGGAATACTGAGCACGAGTCTCAAAGTGGAGCAGGAAGTTGTCTCAGAACAGCTCTGCCCCTCCTCCACGGGACCCTCTCCTCTGATCACCTTCCCTGTAGCAATGCTCAGAGTGTTTGAGACAAAACATGCTTAGGTTAGTCCTCTACACTGGTGTGGATGTATTAATGTGTGCATGTGTCTGTCTGACTATCTATCTATCTATCTATCTATCTATCTATCTCTTTAAATGCAAACCACCAAAGTTAGCAGGAATTCGGGTCTTATCTCCCCAGTCTTGATCAAGCATTTGACCCAATCCACCCCTCTTTGGGGTTAACTTTTATGTCTTTACCAGTTTACTACTACAAACCTGGTAGCAAGTATTATTTCTAACTCAGTCCAGTTACTAGTAGATTTCAGCAGGATTCTAGAAAGCCACCCTAAATCTGTGTCTTCTACCAAGGGGTTCAGCTGAGAAAGAGAAAAGACCCACTCCTTTCTCCTGGAGAAAATGCCTCCAGAGCCAGTTCTCTGCCCACCGAAAGAAAGCCTACTCTTAGGCCATGTACAGTGCACCTGTCCAAAAGAGCAATGAGGATGTCTCTTCAGTTTGAGAAAGGTGGGGTTTAAACATGCACTTCTGCACCAGACAATTCTAAAATAAAGAAATGGGGCAGGAAAGAAGAAAACACCTCTTTCCCTTCTAAGTCTGATTAAAAATTCAGTGTTAAGAAGCCACATCTGAAAAGGCAAAGATTTGAAAACATCATCAGCATTTCTAAAAGCACATTGAGTGCAAACATGCTGCCTAGAATGGCCTGTCTTTGCTAATCCTTTAACAGTGGTTTTGTTTGACTCAGAAATACTATTAATTAATCTAACCACATATAAGGATTATTGATTGAGTGAGAATTTTACTGCTCTCAAAATTAAAGTTTATTTCACTTATGAAAGCATTTTACACTTGCATCCTGGGTTGGTATGTATCTGCCAAGAACAGATGTAATTGCTTAGTCACAGTGTGCAAAGGCATCTGATGCTCAGTGTTGCCTTAGCTTTGGGTGTCCAAAGGATAATGAACATAGATGCAGTACTAGATATGAGCTTCAGATGCTTGAATTCATGCAGGATGTAGAGCAACTACACTTTAGTAACCGTGGGATATGGGATAATTAGAATACCAGGTTCTTCCTACATTAGTTTAGTCAGGGAATGCTTAAAAAAGATGGTGGGTTCTTGTAACTCCTACTCCCTGGAGATAATTATGCAGAAACGGCACTGAGGGCTTATATGCTGGTAGCACCCAGATCTCCATGGTGGTTGCTGTGATTGTTACTGTTTCCTGGAATTTTTGGTTCCATGCAATCCCTCATTGGACAGCGTAGCCCAGCATGGCCCATGTGCTACATCTTTCATATGCTAAAAAGGCATTTGCTTAGTCAAGCATTTGTGTGATGGCACAGAAGCAACACCAAACTAACCAGCTACCTGAGGGCCCTACGGAAAGTGGTGCTGACTTGCAGAGGGATGTTTCCTATATCTCCTACTAGTGGCTTTGCCTGCTGCTGCACAACATCTGTGCTGTTATCTGTCAGGTGAGAGATAATCTCTCCTCACCCCTTTGCCCCACTACTGATTTCAGTCCATGAATGAAGTTCGCATACCATCCGCAAGGGTAAGATTAATAGCTGTTGTGTGAAGGAATGCTCTTTGTTCCAAGCCCTGCCTGAAAAGTTTTCTCCCTGTCAGTCTATGAGCAGAGACCCAGAGACAACCCTGAAAGCAGACCCTAATCTCTGGCAGTTTAGAAGGGTGTAATGCAAACATGAAAGAACATAACTGCTGGATACAACTAATTGCTTTAATGAGAACATGCCCTTGGGGTTTATGACAAACAAATTCCAGTTGCTTTATTGCATTGTGTCTGAATTTCCCCTGTCGTTTCAGTTGGATACAGCACACTGTTGGATCATGCCTGGAGAAGGAAGTTGTTTGTGAGTATCTGGCAAGATGTCCACACAATGAAAATTCGAGAACACTGGAAGGGTAGCCAGCCAACTGTCCCCATTAGGAGAGATGTTTCTCCTGAGGGAAAGCCAGTGAGCCAGAGCTCAGCTGTGAGGGTAAGCCTGCCTCTGGGGAAGGACAGGCAGGCAGCAGAGCAACCTGAGCTGAAAGGGAAGACCTGTCCTGCACCAAGCTAAGATGCTGCCATTTCCAGAAGAGTCTCTCCCCTTGCTCGCTACGCCCACTGGTGCTCACACCAGCACTTCCCAGCACTGGTGCCTGCACTCGTGTGACTGCCTGGGGCCTCAGGTCAGCTCCTGCTCCTGGCTGAGAGGTAAGCCAGCCAAAAACAGGGCTGCATTTTCACCCAGGTCCACCAGCTGATGAGACCTAGCACACAGCTAGTGCTCCTTGGTCTGGAGGCAAGGGAGGCTGTTGGGTGCAAAGGGCTCAGGGGTGAGCCCTGGGTTTGCTTACACTGACTGAAAAAACCCTATCTAGAGCTAGGAATGTTAAACTGAGTGATGTTAAACCGAGACCAAGAGCACCATAATTTTCCCACCATCTGTGACTTTAGTCCAGCAGCCATAAAATAGCATTTTTCCATCCAGACACACAAATTGTCTCAAACCAATACACTTTGTTACACGCTATTCCTCCTCCTGTTTTACATAAGCTATAAGAGAAACATGTTTCCCTTAGCATTTGTTGAGTCAATAGACAAGTACAGCCCAATGCTACTGAATTCCAATTCCCCATGCCAATTTCTAGGAAAATTAGAGTCTTTAGTATTTAAATCCTCTGCCTGCTGAAGGCAGAGGAGCCTTCATCCAATATCCCAAAGGGATGAGCAGTCTTGACCACTCAGTTACAGCATCTGTGGCTCTGATACTGCCACAGCCACGCTCTGTGTCGTGCCAGTGTGAGGTGCAGACAGGTAAAGCAGGTGTTTAGCAGTCTCAGTAGAGCACCTTGCTTTGCCATCTAGTGGGCACTGGGAAACCAGGTGCCTCCTTCCCTGGGCTGCTGGCAGTGTGTCTGATGCAGATCTCCAGTGGCAAGCTGAGTTTTGATATACCTCCCTGATTTTAGTCTGAGGCTAATCTATAAGCACCAAAGTTGTGATGATTCAGGCACCACTACTTTTCCCCTTGTGCCCTGGGTTTGGTTTCTGTATGTCCAAATATGAAACACAATGTAAAACTATGCCACTGGCCATTACAGCAATTCACCTTCTATTCCCCCAGTGCAGAGCGGCAGAGTCTGAAAATGTTCTGGACACAGTGCAAGTTATCTAAATGAACACAGCTGAAGTGTCATTTCAGTCACACCATCTGTCTGGAGCCATGCCCACCTGACTCCTGGTTGCTCTTCCCCATTTTCAAATAGGAATGGCTCATATTGGCTTTTCTTCACGATCTCTGTGCCCCATTTGTGTTGCTTCTTAGCACAAAACTAGCAAAATCCTTTGCAACCTAAGTAATGCTTTGCAAAACCAGAAGGGAGAAAAACATGACTTGCCTCACTCAAAACATAAAAAAAAAAAGAGGCCTTCACATTGCTGCCTGATGTTAACAGAACACACCAAAGCATGCCCCAAAATAGAAAAGCGATCTCAATGTAATTCAGCTGAATTCTTCTCAGTGGTCTCCAAGATAAGGAGAAAAAACCACAGTCTTTTTGCCATTAGGACCATGTTTTGTTTAATGTACTACCTACATATTAAGATTTTCATTTTACCAATATATTAAAGTATAAGTGGAAAAGAACGAGGGTCATTAAAAACACAGGAACTCTGACAAATGATAAAGGATGACAGAGGAGTAATTCTATTTTATCCATACAGGGTTTGTTAATTGAGCAATAGGACAATAACCTTTATGATATGCTAATTTGTTAGATTGGAACATGTTTGGGCTCAATCATAAAACTGTCCTGACATCTGACACTTCTAAGACGACAATTTATGAGATTAGCTCAGCACCTGATACAACCTTATGTAATTCTACAAGCAACATTCTGTGATCTCATATAAATATATGTGAATTGACATTTACCAATGGAATAAGATGCTCCAAATTCACTATGGGCAAGAGCTCACGTGTAGTTTGCCAACTAATATGTTACTTACCTGGTTTTGCAATAGAAGGACATGCAGGGAAGGTATTCCAGTGCTCAAATCACTGATGAGAGCTCTGCCAGCTGCCAATGAGCCACAGCTGCAAGCCTGAAACAAACCATTTGTGCAGTGGTTAGGGTAATTATTTCTGTCATGAAGAAAGTTTTACATCATGCAAATGTACAAAGCTGTGCAATAACTCTTCATGTGGCTGTTTAGAGGGACAAATCCAGAAGAATGAAAGAAGCTGCACCATCTCACTAAGTCAGCCCCATGTATGTGACCATTTGGCAGGTCCTGTTCCTCTGCCGTGCTAAGCCCAAGGGCAGAGGGGGTCGATAGCAGAATTCTGGGAGCATGGGGGATGTTTTACTTCTTTGAGTCCTTTAAATCCTTGCTAGTTCCATTGGTTTGGTGGAAACCGCTGTTTTACCAATGAGGGCAAATGAAGATCTACTGGATCTGCTCACACATGCACAGAGCGATGCAGTTCTTGGTGCTCTGTCCTGCAAAGCTTTCATCAATGCTAATGGGGAATCAGTTCCCTTTTCTAGCTTTCCTTCCAGGCCAGCTAAAGTCAAGAGTGTCCCAAAAAGTTAAGCCACAAAACACAAGAAACCATCTCTCCTGTTTTTGTCTTGCATTTTGAGAACTCTTTTCTGGAAGCATTAATAGGATAGAGGTCACAATGCAAAATACATTCCTGTGTATTCAAACAGTGTTTCTCAAGGCGCTGCACACATCACCCCACTATTACACTGATTCTTACAGGAATCTTTGCTATCTATCCAATTGTTAAGTACTGCACATTTTAGGAATGCATTTTCCATGCATCACATACTGTGGCTGCATGGTGACATACTTGGAGCACTCCTGGGCATGGTCCCAGCCTAGCTGTCCTAGAAGCTGAAGGGCCAGTGTCTGAGAGATAAAAGATACCTATTTAAGTAACACAGGGTCTCTTTCTCTACAAGCCCCAGTTCCAGTTATTCCATTGCAGTGAAAGGTGTGCAGAAACTGTATAAATTTAGGTTAAAAGTCATTTGGGCAACAGAAGACACATATTGCCAGATTTTACCTAGGAGTGCTACACTGTGAAATACAATCTTTGCATATATTATATAAAGGCCATTGACTTGTAGATGTGTGTGGCACTTTTATCCCTTCAAATAGAATCATAAAAAAACCAACTCTATGCTTGTACATACAGCCAATGTATTTAACATAATACATGGTCTTTCATAAAGTTGCATACCATTGATATTTTAAGCTATCATAGTTCTCTAGTAGTGAACAATATTTAGAAAAAGTTGTTTTGAGAGTGCACAAAGCCTCAATCTGTCCAGAATTATAAATATTTCAGTATTTCAGCATCAAAAATAAACTAGGATATTGATTCAGCACGGTACTGACAGGCACTTCAAAGCTCTGAAGCACTGGATAGTGCTTATGCCTCTCTGAGCTGTACCTGCTGCTCCCAGACCTTACTGAAGACAGAGACTCTGCTAAGGACTGTCCTTCGAGTCTTGGAGAAGACAATTGCACAACTCCCCCATACATCAATACTAAAAATAACAGGAAGCCAGAACCCCAGGCCAGCTGCAAAGCTGATTCAAACCCTGCACATGGGTAAACAGGTTTCCCAAGAGTCACAGTAAACACAAGGGTGATGTCCAGGGACTGCTTGTTTTTAACACTGGGAGTACAACAGCCCAACAACAGAAACAATAACGGAACAGGGGCTTGGAGATGAAGCTATGGCATTCTGTTCCTGGGAAACACTTTTTCATTGGTCTGGAGAGTTCTGCTCTGCTAAATACTATGGCATAGCTTCCATACAGGAGCAAGAAAACACTTCACTTTGCTAGCTGACCTGCTGGTCTGATGGCAGCACATCCTCTGAGGGTGGTTTTGATCTCCTTCACTCTTCAAAGACAAAGCCCCTGTGCATGCTTCTGCAGAGCAGAAGATATTCACATATCTGCACAATTCTGAAATTCAAACATCACATTATTTCTTAATGATACCTGATTAGCTCTCAAGACACTAGATACAAAATGAGATTTCTAAGGAAAGCATTTTTCCTTGATTTATGCACAGAATTTTACTGGCTTAGGAAACAGAGCACAATGAAAAGATAGCAAGGTGACTTGATTACTTAGAAAAAACTAATTTCTCCAACAGCAAGTTTCCCTATCATTAGACTCCTTTCACCAATCTGTGGTCACAAAGACATGAAACTACTGGATTATTCAAAATTTCTCTGAAAATATTTGCAATCTTACCTTTCCTACAAACACAATACAGTCCTCAACTCTACAGTCCATGGCTGCCTGGAGCTGGGTATGCTCCAGGCCTCAGGAAGGGTATTCACACCCTGAAGCCCATGGCAGGATCACGATGGGATGCGACAGTGCCCTGGTGCCCATGATGTGGTGGCAGAGCGACACGTTGGGCTGGCTGGTACACGAGTGTGGGGCTGGGCACGGGAAACACAGTCAGTCCATGCTGCCCGACACCCCTTGCCAATGAAACCAGAGTCCTCCCTCTGACTGTAGCTGGCATGTAGAAAAAAGTATTTTTAAACATCAATTGCAAGATGGAAGTGTTTTAAAAAGTATAAAGAAACTCTCTAAACACGTTTCCTCTAAATTTTGAGGCCGTCCCTGTCCTGACACTCTGCCCAGGCCTTCTCCGCCTCCCCCAGGTCAGGCTCTCCAGTCGACCTTCCCAATGCAATGTCCCTCTTCTGGAAAAAGAGCAGCAAGTCCTCAGGGCTTTTTGAAGAAAAATAAATGACCCAAAGACACTTCTCACCTCCTGGGAGGCTCCTTCCCCTCCTTCCCTCACTGTCCCACTCTGCTACACAACACAGCAGCAGGGGCACCATTGACCTGCCCAGCTTGGGCCCTGTTGTGCTGTGGCTCTTCTGCACCAACCGCAGCAGCTCCAGCCCCGGTAAAGTTGAAATCCAGAGCAAGGCTGAAGCAGCAGCGCTGTTGGGGACCTACATCCCCTCCCCAGGCTGGACGTGTCATGTCCCGCTTGGCTGCGAGAGCTGTGGGATAGGGAAGAAAGAACCAGTCAGGCTGGTGGTCCCCCTTTCTGCCTTCAGAGAAAAACACCTGGTTTTCTCACATTCAGGGAGACATCAGAGCTGGAGCAGGAGCACTCAGGTTGCTTCAAATTCCAGGACATGCCTTCCTTTCCAGGGTTGCTGATTTTAAAACACACAGTCACCTGCTTGGGCTGCCATGGCAGTCCCAGCAGCACAGAGCTCCACTTGGCCAGGCGTGGCCAGCAGTGCCTGGGCAAGCACACAGCTGCCATGATGCTCTTCCTGACTACTTGTGAGCACTAAAAGCATTTTTCAGAAAATTAAAATATTAACCACCTTCCATGGAACTGGTATCTACCAACTGGTGTAGACCAAGTTCAAAGTGAATAGTGTTCTACAGTGAAATCTGAACAAATTCAGTGCTAATATAAGTAAAATAAAATAGTGCCAAAACACGGTTGCTTTCCAGGCACAAGCCAACCAACGTTAACTCTGGCTGCAAGGACCTGTAGCACTACAGTCAGTTACAAGTGCAGAATTTCTCTCACAGTCACCCGTTTCATATGTAAAAGGGTTTTTCTTAATTATACAGCAATGCAATATTTTACAATCTTCCATTAAATGCAGACATTTAAAGTATTCATGAATTTAAAATAAAGGAAGCTTTTTATTTCCAAGATTCATTAAAAACTGTGTGATGAAGTTTAACTTACTTTCTTCTGTCTACCTGCCATTAAATCAGGAGAAAGCTTAGGAAACCTAGTGATAGATGATACACATTGAAATCAGTAAAATGAGCGTAAAATACAGACTGAACAGCTGATACATGAATTACCTAGAAGTGATCCAGAACTCCTCCAGTAACTCAGGTTTCTAGACTCAGTCTCAAGGGTACTTCTATCCCAAGCACAAATTGCTGAATGGCAGTCACCAAACACACCAACTCAGACATCTTCCTGTGACCACAGAATGACTACATGTGAGGATACAAAATTTTCATTAACAGTACTGCAAGATGTTAAAACAAACACAACTGTGCATATTGGGAGGTAAAACCTCAAACTTTGATTCAAAAGAGGAGATGGTGACTCTTTTTTTATCTGTAGGAAGCTTTTTCTAAAGTGGGTGTTTAGGTTTCAGAAACATGCATTTGTAAAGCTGAAGCAAATGTCATGTACTTAGCCACAACAGCCTATTCCCAGATCCTAACCACAGAAAAAGCAACACTGTATATAAACCTTCTTAGTTTTAGGTAGCTGTAAAATTCTCAGTTACTTTAGTAGTTCTCTGATACATTGCCTAACTTACCTTTCCAAGGGTAACCATACCACATTCCAGAGAAATAAAAACAGTCACACAATTGTACATATTTTCTTTAGGTAAAACAGTTGATTTAAATTCTGTTAGTGACACCTGCAGAATAAGATGGAATGAAATCTAATGTGAGCTTACAGTTATAGCATTCTCCTCACACTCTGCACTGTCTCGTGTCGTAGAGAGTGAAAAGGATGCAGTGCCAGTTCTCTATTTGAGTCTAATTTTCTAGTCATTCTATAAACTAATTTTATTCCACAGCTCAAGAATTAAAGAAGGATCACTGACATACTTAAGAGTTGTTTCTGTGAGATCTATTCAGTGAAATGAAGTTTCATTACAACAGATGTTTTAAGTTGCATGGAATCCTCCCCTTTCACCTCCAATGTTACTTAATTATTGTATTTGTATAATTACAAAGAGTGTGCTTTAAATAATTAAGTGCAGCTCAGTGATACAGTTATGTGATTTGCCCTCTGTTGAAATGTAAAAACACACCATGAAAACTTTGAAATTTCAACTGCCATTGTTTATTACTGTTTTGGCTACATTCTCTACAATTTCAGCAGCATCTTAAAGAGACAGTTAACGTTTCTTTATATACAATGAAAACAAAATGGCTTGCAACATCAGAAACAAGAGCAACAGTTTAACTGTACAATACTAAATGAAAACCTGTGGTAATACAGCCTCCTCTTCCTGCAACATGGACAAAATTACATATAGGTATTCAGCATCAAGAATGGGATAGTAAAAAGAATAGTGAACAGGAGAGAGATACACTGTTCTGAAAAATAAGTTTCTACCATACAAGGCAGTTAGAAAATGTTTCACATTTTAAAATATCTGTACAAGCCACAAGAAACATTTCCTTGTTGATAGGAACTTCCAGAAATAGAGAATAACCATGAGCAACTTCTACATCTAGTATCAATGCGCTCTGCAGGTCGAGAACGCAATAAACTGAGTTAAAGAACTGTACTGTATATTGCCAACACAGATCTGTTTGACATGCCTTGATTGTTAACAGATTGCCTACTCTCAATCTCTCTGACACGTACAGTTGACTTGCACCTTAAGGAGGTCATTTGATTCTTTTGTAAAAGTAAAAGCAACATCATTTAGCAGCAATTAAAAGCGCCTTGAGGGAGACTTAAAAAAAATACAATATCCAATTAGAAAAAGCCATACTTTAAACATTTGTACAGGAATAAGTTGCTGAAATTTAACTGAAAATGTGACATCTGTACAACAATTTACAATAGAGCTAGAAGGGAATTTATCATTATTCCTGCATAGAACATTATACATGACCTGTTTGCATTTGGTTTCATACTGTTGCTTGCTTTTATTAGAAGCCTGGAAGGTTTCACGAGTTTTGATACCACAGCAAGTGTAGTATTTTTAGAAAACTGAATGGATTTCAAAATTAGCAATCTATTTGAGAAGTAAGTACCAGGAATTTCATATCACCCTTCCAATCTAAATTCATGAAACACCACCACATTTTTGGAGGTACAAGCCTGAGTTGCCAAATAAAATACTCTACTTTTAACTGAGAAATCTGATACAGAACATCTTTCACCGTCTCACACTCCTTACTTTGGTTTCAAAAGATCAGTGTCTTGGAAAGATGGCAGTTCATTTAGTTTATAACCAGGCACGAAATTTTTCCTGTGTTTTCAAATTTACTCACTACTCTTTTAGATTTAAATAATGAAAAACTACCCTTCATGTTAGAACTTTCCAGTATCCACCAAATGTATTTTAAGTATTAAAAAGATTATTTACAATGTTCCCCAGAAAAAAACTAAAAACCTTTTCTTCAGTCTTAAACACAGTATACCTGCTAGTTGTAACAGGAAGTGTCATCCTTCAGTGTTTAATGGTGTTTCTCAGAAGGGTACATTTATTCACAGTCCATGATCCATTCCAATCATACAAATGACACTATGTAGGAGGACTTCAGTCTGAAAACACAGTTATCAAACTTGTCCTGTGTAAAAACACTCAAATGCTTTCAAGCTCAAGTCTGCATCAGGAAACTACACAAAGGTATCATCCCATTCCTCAGCTGGAGAAACTTCAGTACGAAATAATGCTTGAAGTAGGTGGTGTAGGGGATGCTGCTAGCCCAGTCATGTGCAAGTTTCCTGAAGAATTCGATCTCCTCATGTGAGGGAGAAGATAAGGATCATTAGCCAGCTGGTGGACATCAAATCTATCCTCTTTTCGGTATGCTAAACAGCGTCTAATAAAGGCCTAGAAATGAAATGTAAAAAGTTACACCAGCATTCCAAATACTTACCTCTGCTTTCAGGCAAATATGCAAGTCCTTCTGGATAAACTAGTTTTTAAACAAATTCTTGTTATTAAGTAATTCAGTTCAAATGACATTTTAACTGCTAAGCCAAATGAAAAAATGGAACATCATGGTAGAAAGAAAAAACATCAGTAAATTAATTGGCTTCAAATAATCACATTTAAAATATATATTTCCATGTTTAGGAACTACATTTACAAGTAAATGTGCACCTCACCCAATTAGAATTCTGCATGTGTTGTGCCTGAACAGCCTAGTAAAAACCAAGAGCAAGTGTCAGAGGAATGAAAAAGTAGACCTTTATACTTTCTCTAATGAGCTTCTAAAACCATTGAACTGAGTGGTGAAAAGTAGAGAGATTATGCAAGGACAGAATCTCAACACTTTAGTTGACTTTTGAAAACACAGGCATTTCCACATGTGCCATAATGCAGTATAGCAAAAATGAAGAATATTTAAGAAACTACTACCTTGCTGAAACTCTCTTCCCAGGAAAAACTCAATCCCACCTGCTTAGAATCACCTAATCAATTGAAAAACTCTGTAGCTAACTTCAGGACTGTTCTTGAGTCACTCTGTTATCCTACATTTAGGTCCATGCAGTGTATGCCAATCATTCTGTGCTGAAAGTTTCTGTCCAGTCTTATGTCTAGCATACACAGAACATCTGGTCTCCCGAGAGCTTGGGCTTCAACATTTAATGACAGAAAATCCTTATTATTGCTACAGAACTGATTAGAACATTATTACTTA